TGGAATATTAATAATAAAACAAAACAAAATACAAACCTTGTTATTTGAATATATAAAAAAATATTTCATTTTTTACATCTAACTTGTAAGTCTTTGATTATTAGGGGGAGAGCTACATTCCAAATATGTGCTGACTGGTTCTGTCTCTATTTCGTGGTTCCCTATTCATTCCCTTTGTAGGACAGACATTAAAATCTCAGGCTGACCTGTCATGTTGTCCATTCCAGCCACAAGCAAAAATGCACCCCAATTTAAATTCTTGTGTGTGTGTGGCTGTCTGGTACAGGCATCCAAACCCTTGACTTTGGTGTTATAACACCAAATTGTAAGCAACTAAGCTAATGGGCCAGCCCCCCCAATTTTAATTTAATCCAAGAATTAAACAATGTTTTTTTTAAAAAGGCTAATCTGCTTTCTTATAGTCATATCTTAAACACATGAAGCTTCCTAAATTCAAATGTAAAAGGTTTTTAGACTGAAAGTTTAAATTATGCCATGCTTCCCTTCCACTGAGTCAGAAGTGGTTAGCGATATAGTAAAGTTTGAATCAGAAGACGAGGTTCAAACCACGACTGGTAAATTCCTCGCAAGGGGACCCAGGGTAAGTTGCTGGCCTCTCACCCTCATTTTTCACATGTACGCAATGGGGTCTATAACACTACACCTCAGGGGTGAAGGCAAAACGAGATCCTGCGTTCGGGAACTAGCCCAGTGCTTGCCCCTCAGTAATGTGCAGCACTCATACGACTCAGTCTCCTGTCCTTTGAAGTTCCATCGTAATTGCCATGGTCCCCAGCCACCTGCCCACAAGCAGTGGGGGCCCCTTGCCCCTCCAGTGGCTGCAGGGGTGGGGAAAGGGCGGCTAGATAGGCCCCTGGGAGCTTTTGCTCAGCTGGACCAGTTCAGAGGTTGGGCATGTCACCATCTTCTCTGTACTGTCCCCATGCCACCAAGGGTCCCTCACATGTGCAGCCAGTCCTTTTTCATTGATTCCCTCTCTACCCACCCTTTCTAGAAGGCACTGGGGCGGGGCAGATTTCTAAAGAGGCTGCGTGGACTGGCAGGGCCTGGCAGTCCTCTTCTGCTCAGCCACCCATCTTCCACCCTCTTCCTTCAGCACTTCCCAACCCCGCCTCCTTCGACGGGGAGGGGGATGCAGAGACCATGAACAGCATCCCGGGGCAAGGCTGGGGGTTCCTTGACATGTAATACTGTGCAGGGAAGGATGAGACCTAAGTTCCCCTCCTCCCATCCCCGCTAACGACGACATCCTCACCTAGGGTCCTGTTTTCTCAGAGGGCGGGCAAGAAGTGAATTTTGACAGTGAAATAAAACCGATACGAGCATATGGGATGGACTATGGAGATTATCAAATCTGATAATCA